TATAGTCTCGCCGGAGGTTAGATTGTGTGGGTTTTGGTCAGAGCTTGAGGTTGAGGTGGTGCTAGTTGTCATATGCAGGGCTGTCGTCTGGGTCAGTCTCGTGGTTCCCTCACTTGGTGCTCCGTTCTGAGCTTTCTAGCCAGGTTATCCCCTCCGCGCTATCTGATTTAGTCGAAGATAGCCTTCGGTTGGTCGGTGGTGTTCGGATCGAGTATGTGTTTTGATCTTGCCTTCGTCTTATCCGTTGTTCAATCTCTTGATCGGAGCTTGTCCTCTAGGTGGTTTTGTGATCCTCTGGTTTGGATCAATGGCCCTTCCTTTTGGGTCTGGTTTTTGCTGCTTAGCCAACTTGATTAGTGTAGATGTTGTGGGTTCTTTCACTCTTTGCCGGATCCGATTGGGTACCACTCGGGGTCCGAGATTTGGTATTGTTCGGTTAGAGAGATTTGATCGGGATCTTGGTCTTTTCTAAGGATTCTATCTAGGCGTCGTCAAGTCGGAGTTCGCCCGTAATCGCCATTCCGGGAGTCTTGGTTGAAGATCATGTTTGTTTTCTTCCATCTTGCCGGAATAGTCTCCTATGTATCTCAATTTGGTTAGGTATACTTATTCGCTATGGAAGGAGCCGCATTTCGTGTGTTGGGGTGTCTTAGCCATGTCGATATGCTTTCGCGTTTGTTCCCGCTTTGTTTAGTTAGTCTCGTTGGCAAGGTCTGTTTGGATTAGGCTTGATCGTTAGTTGTGGTTCTTTTGATCTCATGCTAGGGACTACATCCCCTTTATGTTTTAATTTGTTTGTATTTTGGTTTTATCCATGTCTCCCTCACGCAGGGCTTAGACTCCGCGGATTTTGTAGTCTGTCGGCTTAATATTCCAAAAACGTATTCCATTCCTGTATTATTCCAGTGTTTGTAATAAAATCCAGATAACATAAAAAAAAATGCAATGCAAAATGTCTACTAAATGATATAAGATAGACCTTAGGGTTAGATATCGTAGGCTTGGCCTTAAATCAGTTCACATCA